TTTTGTCTAAACATTGATAAATAAATAAAACTGAGTAACTAGCTAATATGTACAGTATGCTTTATGTGTGCATGTGTGCACTAATTAGTGAATATTCACTGGCACTAGGCTTCATGTTCAAACTTTCAGTATGGAAAAATAATCAGAAGTTTACTAGGTGGTAGACAAATGTGTTTCAGGCAGAAGCTTTTCACCTTGAAGGCTTGCAAGGTACAATAAACTGTAGTATTAATATATTAGTGATATATTAGAATTTTTTTTTATATTTGAATGTATGGAAACTTTTTCCTATTTCAAGAATAATGTCCGTGTCAAATGTATGCTTTAAAACAGACATTTTAAATATAGACATATTGCAGGTTTCCAGATTCAAAGGGTGATGATATTTGTCTTCTTGTACAGCACCTTGCAGTGCAAAACAGCATACTGTACATTAATGGAAAACCTGCATAAATCCCTGAAGAATATAATGTGCACATTTGTATAATACTGCTATAAATAGAAAATATAAGAGAACAAAAACAATGAATAAAGTTTCTATCAGTGTGAATAGAGGGCAATACTGAAATACTGAAAAAAGAGAAAACTAAGCCAAAAACAGCGACATGCTGTTAATAAGGAAACCCTTATAAGAGGTATATTTGTGATTAGGTAATAATAAAATATTATTAAAGATGATTGTTTATAAACGTAAACATTTAAAAAATAACTGGTTAATTAAAATATCAATATAAATATCAATGAATCAATGAATCCTAACAGTATTATCAATACACATTAATAAAATATTGACAATATTAAGAATATGAATATATAAGATTTGCTGATAAAATTGGTATAAAAATCCTAACAACCTTTCATAAGTGACTTCTCTAGAGAGTGAGAAAGCTGAAGGGGGCAAAGGCAGAAATCTGGTACTGTACTGTACATCATATCAAGATCAAAATGTTTCTCCAAACGTTCTGCTGAACTAGCAAAAGTCAGCAAAATTTAGAACCCCCGCAGTAAAATGAGTCACTGCAGCCTCAAATAAGCAGCCTTTTACATGATCTTATTGAGTTAATAAAAAGTAAAACCACATTAAAGTAAAGATTGTTTATACTGTGTAGTCAGTGTAAGCATTACAAAGTGACGAGATCATCAGTATGTTGTACTTGGAAACGTAAGAACTAGAATACACTAAGTACATGTACAGTACATAACCAATTATACTGTTAGTCTACATATTCTGCAACAGAAACCTCATGTGATGACCAGTTTAAAGGAGATATGCTCCTGTGCTTGATTTTTTTTTTCCTTTTAAATGATTGCATATCTCCTAGCAATGCGTAAAACCAAAGTAATAAAGCATTTTGTAAACATTATATATAGGTAGATATACAGTATACAGTATATCCATCCAGTAACAGACGACTGCATATTTCTTGTTAGAGCTACACCAAGTTGAATTCTATCCTGGAAGCATAGATTTCAAGGGAAGACAACACCTTGGTTTGAATGGCAGCCCATAGAGGTTCTTATTTACTGTATGTTTAATCATTTAAAGGTATTGTACTTTTTTGTAGTGCACTGTGGCTAGCAATGACAGTTGTGTGGGCAGCATAGTTATTTCATTCTTTTCAGTCAGATAAGTACAGTATGTGAAGATGACTGCTCATTTTCAAAGGATTTAATGTATACATAAACAACTGCATTTTAAGAAGAAGACTGTGGCCATTGTAAATAGAAAGGCATCATAGAAAGAAACCAAAGCAGCAGTGTTCTATAAGGGTTGGGGTGTGGAACAAACATTGTAGCCTGCTGAAGATATGTTTTATGGATGCAGAACAAGTTAAGAACATGCAAAATCTTTGAAAGGTGTCGTACTGTATGTTGAGAATTTCACAAGCTGTCTAATTTATTTAAAGTAGTTTTACACTTTTGTGGGAGGCACATAACCTTTATAGAAATGTTTTTACCTTAAAGACATTGAACAATATATTCTATAATTCCTGGAACTAAAATACAACCGTACTCCGTAATTTTATATATACAGTATAGCATCAGTATCATACACACGGTATGTACTGTATGGTATGTATTTAGTCTGATACTTGGGTGTGTTCAACATAGAGTAAGTGCAGACATATATATGCCGTACAGACTTATCACTTTGTGAAACATGCTATGACAGAAGGCATCTGGAGTACAGCACATGCATGTTTTATAAAACTGCCACAGTAGATGAAAAAGGATTAGCAAGGCTGTTTTAATATTTGATCAACGTGTTTATAAATCTGATGCCAAACCCATCTGGGGGATCAGGGCAAAATGCCACTACTGTGACTGATCTCCATTTGAAAGTTGAAACGTTGTAAAAAAATTATTTAAACACCATTTTGCGCCCGATGTTTATTCGATTTTTCTCAAAAAACCCTTGTCTTATCACTTTGCAGCAGCAACTAGAAATCCACGAGAAACAATATTTGCTACGGCTCTTGTTTGATCAATTTGATTTTCATGTTGCTTTCTGTGTCATCTGTAGGTTACTTAAGATAGTGGTCTATCTTTGAGTTTCTGATTACAGGCTGTAGTCTGAAGAGGTGGTATTTATTTACTTGGGTAAAGTTCTGCCAACTGCCATTCATACAAGTGTTATATAACTGTGCCAATTTGTAAACGTAGTCTCACTCTCTGGCTTTGATAGATGAGTTGCTTTTTGGACCACTTCCTTTCTTGAATGCTTTGGAAATGCCTTTTGTTCTAGTAGCTCACTTTCATAAAATGTGTGGTTCAATGCTCTACAGTCTGAAATGAGACTCATAAATAAATAAACACAAAAGCCCAACAGGTAGTTTGAGGGATAGTTCCCCTTTCTTTATTTTCTTAATAATGAAATACATTCTTTATATTCAATGTAATATACAAAATAGTTACGTATCTTAATTTGATGATGTTGGAGCGGTGAACTGTGTAAACATACAAGTTGCAATGCAATGAATAAAAAAGTCTTTGCAGTCTTTGGCTGCAGAGCCTTCTTTAGTTGCAGAGAGCAAAATGTTGTGTTTTTTTATCTTTTCTTTTTGCTTTTATGATGGAATTAACTTCTGCTAGCAGTTAGTTTGAGGGACATGTTTGAGTACTTCATTTTGCTGGTCTCATACTTAATTATTTAGTTTTATTTTGATTACATATTTTTGCTAAATAAATAGATGGCTTCCTAACACCCCTAAATGATATAATGTTCTGTTCTCCATCAGCAGGTTTTCTTCCGGAGCAGCTCATCTTATACTATGGCTTTAAAAGGCAGTTATTTAATCCATGCCAAATTGACTAATACTCTGAGACACCCTATTTTCTGGAACATTACATTAATTACCCAGCACCTTGAACTAAATTATAGCTCCATCACATTTAACTTACATAATTTCAAATGGCTGACTTAAGGCTGGATTTCTCATTCTAGTGATGTATTATTTCATTTCCATGCCATTGTTAGTGTTAGTAAGTCCTTAATTATACAGGAACGAACTCCACTGAAAAGTCTGCTGAATCTGCACTTTGTAACATTATGAAGGCAGAGCAATGCTTCCCATGGGACATCTAGATTTACCTACATCCTCACCTGCCACCTGCTCATTCCTCACAGCAGCATGCTGTCATACTGCTTCCTGTGCAAGACCAACTGATTCCCTGAAAGAACATACTGTACTGTGTGAGCAATCACTTTCCAACAAATAAGTAAATTCTACATTCCTGTTAATTAATTGCTGCATTCATATGAATCTTACACAATACAGATATTTAACATTGTTTCACTCATATACCGTACCCGACTGGTGTGCTTTCCAGGGTGTCTCCTGCCTTACACCTATTGTCTGCTGGGCTAGGATCCAGGTCACTGTGCCCCTGTTTCGGACTAAGCAATCATTCGAAATGGATGAGTGAATGCAAAATTATATGCCATTATAAATCATCCTCTAATTTCAACTGGCTGTTTTTCAAATAATATTTGAATGCTGAAAATAAATCCTATAGAGTCTTATAAATAAATGCATCCATTCTTTTGAGAACTGTTTATACTATGCCAAAGTCTTCTACAATTTCTTGGTACACTTTTCTTGGAATTTTCATTAAGTATTTATACAGTATATGAATGTAGTTTTATATAAGGTTTCCATATTGTGCAGGCCATCATATCTGCATGACAGATGTTTAATGAAAACAATAGATACAATCATAACTTATTACCCAGTTATAACCAATTACCCTGGCTATAGTTTTAAACTAAAGTTCAACTGAAATGAAAATAGAGGGTCTTGATAAGGGGAGAATATTCAAATGGAGGTTATATAATTAATAGAGTACCACATGGATCAGTCCTAGGAACTCTACTCTTTATAATGCATAGAAATTATATAGAAAATATATTGCTGCAGATGTCTTCAGATTGAACAGCAAAACACAAACTGGGGACACCAGTGGAAACTATCTGGGAGTGCATTTGAAACCAGAACACGGCATACTTAGTAGTGGAAGAATTGAATGAGTTAACACACTTCCCATCAATGTTAGCATACATGTTATTTGCTTGCTTTATTCATTTTGCTAAAATTGCCGGTAGTTTTTGCTACAAACTGTTGTTGTTTATGTTTTCACATATGCCATTTTCAGGAGTGATGACAGAAATTTCTGTTGAAATATCATTAGTCAGGTTCGACTCGCTGTTGTACTGTAACTCTGTTTTGTTAAACTGCAAGACACGTTGTGTCCTTTTTGTAGCTAACTGTATTGTAATACTACACTTTTGTATTGTTTGATGATTGCAGTTGTGTTAGAAAAAATCAAAAAATGAAATGTATGTCTGTTTAATGAAGGATTCCTTTTTAAAGATACATGTGGCAAAATGGCAGTTTATATCTGATTAATAACATTGTTGCTGCTGATTCTGCTGTCTGCAACTAAGCTACAGAATGTACATTTCAATCTTATTAATTTCTTCTTATTTTGTATCCTTGAAGTATAAGCAAGTGGAGCAATACATGTCCTTTCATAAGCTGCCTGCGGACATGCGACAGAAGATCCATGATTACTATGAGCACCGCTATCAGGGCAAGATCTTTGATGAGGAAAATATTCTCAGTGAGTTGAACGATCCACTCAAAGAGGTGAGAAGGCATTTCAGACTTCCATTTAAGAACACTTGAGATCCTTGTTAGTTAATGAATTAAAGTGTAAAACTGTTAAAGTGTAAAAAAATCAATATGTTGTATAAGCAATTACTATATGTCTTCTCATAGATATATTCAAATCTCTGACAAAAAATCTCTGATAAAACACATCAGTACTGTATGTCTTAGTTTGTCAATGGTTGTGTGATGCGTCTAGTGTGTTGGCGAAGTGTCTGTGTGCTTGTCACCTCTCGCTTTCAGCCACACCACTGGCTAACAATGCTGCTCACAGAATCGCGAAAAGAGAGCCGAGTGCATAAGTCTCTCCTGGCAGTACATAGCCTCTCCACATCAAGCCCTGTGCAGTGCCTCCTCATGGCGACAGATGGTAACTGGGTACCGCAAGGCCCAGGGCTATTCTGCAGGGACTTGGCGGTGGTTTTGCCCCCAGACGTGTGGCGTGCATGGCCCACCGGCCTGTGGTTATGCCCTGTTGTCCATTATCCAAACCCCCAGCTATGGGTAAATAGCCTCACAGCCTTGTGAGGGTCTTGGGAAAGGTAAAGCCTAAGGGAGTGAACCCTGACAGAGAATCCGGAGTGGAGCCCCGAAGGCGGTCAGTTCAACTACTACTCATCTTTCTGGCAGCTCCTGCAGCCACGTTAGTGCCAAACGTCACGCTTTGCACTCCTTTGGACTCCACTGACGTGGCCGAGAGGGGGACTCTGACAATTGGGCAGCCCAGGGTCTCCATACACTTTGACAAGGCTTGCACCCTGGTGAGGTCACTCCAGTCCCACTGAGTACAGCGACAGAACAACACAGGAGTCAGCAGTTACAAGTAATAAGCCCACAGCGATTGGCATACCTGTAGTTCAGTGCACTACAGGTTGCCTTTGACAGTGGGAGGGATCAATGTATCCCACTAGTCAGCTACTGCCCACCTCAAGCTGGGCAGCCCCAAACTAGTAAGGTGCTTACCTGCCACAGTCTGCCTGCTTCATTGGGTGCATGGAGCTTAGAGAATCAACTTGACAAGCAGACTGAAAACACTGCACCAAGCAAACACAGAAGAACTAAAAGATCACCAGTCCTGCGCTTAGCAAGCTAGAACATCAGGACCATGTGTCCAGGCCTCTCCAATGACCCAGGTCAAATCGATGACTCTTGGAAGACAGCCATCATCAACCTAGAACTCAAGAGGCTGAATACTGATATTAATGCCCTAGAGGAGACTAGGCTCCCTTCAGATGGCAGCCTCCGGGAACAGGACTACACTCTACTGGCAGGGAAGAGACCCAGATGTCTTATTATTTAGTGTAGTAGAGTATATATATTCCACAAACCTAGAAGATATTTTCACAATTTCTGCTTAAACTTATGAAAAGCAAATCAAAGGTTAGTACCTTAATAACTGACAAGGTGCTTGGACTTAGATAATAAGAAAGTTGCCATCGATGCATGACTGCCAGTTTGTGATTCCACAAAATAATCTAAAAAGTCTAAAGCTCAGCAACATTTGTAATAAAGCAAAGAATGCAGACTGTAATTCATTAGCCTTAGATAATGTTCAATGTCATTGCTTATTTATAAAAAACATGCTGTACCACATTGTTCTCAAGCACCAACACTAAATGAAATTTGCATGAAAATTTGTTTTTTGAGGGGATTAAATAAAAATAAATGAAGTCAGATTTCATTTCTTATGTGAAACCACAAAAAGATATTCATTTGTTTCATGTGTTTAATTAAAGCCATTTGAAAGTTACTCTGTAGAACAAGCAAGGTAAAATGTGCTTATTTCCATTGGCACCTTATTCTATCATGAGCATAGAATAGCAAAAATGTATAATATCCTTTGATTTCATTAATATTATAAACATTTGTATTTTGGTTTACTAACTTTCTCAAAAAACACAGTGCTCTCAATATATCATCATATACAGTACAAAAGAAAGTCTTTGCTGAAAAAAATGACATTAATTGCCATCGCTTTGCCTGTAGCCCCATTAAGTCAATTCAGATCATCATTACCATGTGAGAACAGTAAGCATTCTGTGTGGTTACTGATGCATTGATGATGCTGGCAAGGTGAGAAAACAGTTAATACAGTATTTCATCTTATCACCCCTGAAATTTTGCAGCACACAGTCTATTTTTAAAATGGTCATGTGATAAACGGAAGGCTTTAAATAGATAAAGCCCAAAGATTGTTCCCCTGAGGAGTTCTGAGCTGAATGCTGGTATCTAATTTATTATTCGTAGCATATGATTGGGGTCAAAACCCCTGCTACTGTTGCTACAGTTGCCTTTGCCCATGCTAACAACCTGGAATCCTGGAAGCACTCTTATTCCTTTAATGAAGAAATTTCCCACCATTTAGTAAACTTTACACTACACTCATGTAATTAGAAGAAACTACATCTCTAGAATTTTGAGCAAACCCAAAATATAAAACTAATGACTAAAATTTGTTATGCAAAGTTTGTGCTATACTTATTGGCTTGTGGAATTTGGTGATGATTCTCATTAAGATGTGAGAAAGGAAAAATGTCTCTATTCAAAAACATATTATTCTAAAGAATTGAAATTAAAGAAAAGGCAAATTATTTGAAGTGGTTATTATATACAGTATAATGTAAAAAAATAACAGTTGATAAGATCACTTGTCACATCTGTCACATTTGATAAAAAAGATAAGTAAAATTTATTTCAAGGCTGCATGATTATACGTATGTACCACAGAATTTACAACTTTAACATTTTGTTTTTTGCATATACAGGTGAGACTTTGTGTTACAAAACACAAAAAGACTAAAACAACACAATTTTCCACAATGGAAAACAGATGGCAGGTTTATGAATAATCCCCTTACTCTAGTTTACAATATACATTTCTTATCAAGGTCGTGATAGTATTTAAGAACACCAGAATGGCTACAAATGTAAGAAGGTTATTTATTTCCTTTATTTATTTTGTTCTGGTTTAATCACAGAAGCAGTAATGGTCTTATTAATGGGAACAAGTGCCACCTTCTTGGAAAGGAGCCAAATTAGAGTAGTCAGACATAAACTGCACAGGCGGAGAACATGCAAACTTTACTCAAGGAAGGCAGCAGGAACCCAGGTCTCCAGCCCTGAAAGGCAGCTGTGCTAACCACAATACTACAGTGCAAATTATGTCAGTATTCTGTGATTTCTGAATGCAGCTCTGTAAAAATTGAAAATAAATTACCATCACTAAAAAGCAGAAGAACCAGCTGTCATTCCAGTGCAATATTTAGCCATAAACAGGTGCACACCAATGAATGAACTTCTCTTTCTTTTTAATCAAAAGAAATAAGTCTTGCATTGCTTGTCTCTTCTCATTCCCCCCACTTTATTCACAAGATACTTTACACCAGACTAGTTGCATAATGCAAGCAAATCTTGATAGAAGTGGTTTTGAACAAAAAAATGTATTCTAAAAGTGCACTGCACTTAAATTCTGAATGCTTTAGTAAAATTAAATTAATGATGAAATCATAAATGGTACTTTATCACAGTTATTCTTGAAGTGCATGGTCTGCATCAAAGCATTGGACTTACTTACCTTGTTCAAAATGTCTCCTGGTTATTTTGTGCTGATTTTTCCCTGTGATTTTGGAAGAAAATATTCAAAATGAAATATTATTAAAGTAACTGTAAGGAGTTTATTTATCGTTTCTCACTAAGTCAATATGTCAAAAGCATTACTAACAAATGAATAATTTTCTCCTGCTTGTGATACCCTATGTGGCTGTTGGTGGTTCTCACAGTATTAAAAAATTACCACTTCTTGAGATCTGAGGTGTTTCATCAAGTCCGATTATTTGTATTGTAGATCAAGCAAAAAATCTTTGCCTTGATTGTATCTGTTCTCAGGAGAATTATCTAACATACAAATTAAAAAAACAACTTGAAATTAGAATGAATTTTGTTTGAGGAATGAGGAATAGAAAGTAAGGTAATGAGTGACATCAGTTTCTGATTTTAATTGACACTTACTGTACCATGTTTTGCCTTATTGTCTCTTCCTCATAAAAAATCTATAGACATGTTAGGAAAGAACCTAAATTTTCTTTGCATTTTGATTCTATTTTTTTCTTTTCCTTTGCTTACTAATATAACAAATATACTTATTTCAATTCTAATGGCAAGAGCTCCAGATAATATGTGTCATATTTCACAAATAAATGGATTAGCACTCCCATGTGTCATTTCAAATCTGTGAATTACAAAACACATCAACCTTTTCAACATACTTTATTAATTCAATCCAGTACTTACTTTAGGATGGCAGGGTATTTTCTGGTAGGTCCAAAACCATATTTCTTTATACTCTTCACACTGCATTAATAGTCAACCACTGCAATGTTTGTGTACAGTTGAATATTTAAGGAAGCTGGCATTGGTAAATATCTTTTTTAGAGAATTGGTTTTAGACCTGGTTCACATTAATTTAAAATCCACATTCAAGATTATACTAGGGATTGTAAAGGCCATCTCTTAATCTGTTTATTAAGGCTTGTGCAACAAGAAGGATTAAAGCAGACATTCATATGAAAGTGGAATACTCTAACCTGTTTTCTTTTATCATTCCAGGAAATAGTTAACTTTAACTGCCGGAAACTAGTGGCAACTATGCCCTTGTTTGCGAATGCAGATCCCAACTTTGTGACGGGCATGCTCAGTAAGCTGAAGTTCGAGGTGTTCCAGCCCAATGATTACATCATACGAGAAGGCACTGTTGGAAAAAAGATGTATTTCATTCAACATGGAGTGGCCAGTGTGATCACAAAATTGAACAAAGAGATGAAGCTCACAGATGGCTCTTATTTTGGAGGTTTGTGAAATATTTGTGCTTCATCAAAAAATGTAAATGAATCAGGTCATGAAAAAAATAATTTGAAAATGGTGTTTCAATTATTTTGGTCACCCTTTTGGTCATGATTAGAAAGTCATATTTGTTTGAAGCTTTCACTTTATTTTAATTATTTTATACACATAATTGAAAATGTTGCACTCTGTTGTCAGTAACATGATAAAGGTCAAGTCTTGAAGTCAGAATGTAGATTAAGCTGAATAGTTAGAAATAAATATATTGGAAGAAAACAAGCCTTTTAGCTTGAAACAATATGGAATATTCTTGTTTTGAGTTGCATACATAATCCACTTCTATACCCTTCTGAAGAAATATCAGGGGGATAGCATCAACATTAAGAAAATAATTTGATGTAGACTTTGTATACCTGTGGTTGTCACAATTCTGTTTTCTAAAAAATGCATTGCATTTGCTCTGTTGCGACACCTCCTACACTTCATATGAGCTACTGATTGAGGACATAAAGTAGAACAGGATAACACCATGTTATCTTTAAGGAGTATGTTGAGAGTATTTTTCCTTCAGTGTTAAATTTGCTCCTCCTTTGTAGATACCAAATAAAACACAGCACAACCTTTGCTGGAGATTCATTTTTAACCCTAATAATGTCTCTCAGAAATGTAAGCCTTCGTGTGTTGACCTCCCTTTAGAAAGCTAGGAACAAATCAACAGCCACCATTGTAAAAAAGGGCTTCTACATTCTACAGTTACTTGCCATTCATTCATACATTTTAGTTCATTATACTGTACTTACATACTGTAGTGTATTAGTGACAATAATTAAAAAGTATTCACTTATTGATGTGGGTTAACATAAATGACTACAAACCTAGTATTAAATCATGAAAGCCTGCCTTTTGACTTCTACTGAATATTTCCTGCAGAGTTACATTGGAAAACCTATTCAGAACTTAATTAGGTTTCGTAGAGAATCTTGGTTTCAATGCCTTCAGCGGCACTCTTAAACCTCACTAACTGAAGCAGTCAAATTAGATACTGGTGGATACACTAGTGATTATACTGTATGTAGACCAACGGCTAGGCCAAGACCACCTGAAAATAATTGCACTCTGAAGCATACATGACCTTTTGAAATTAGTCATGTAAAAAGATGGTGAACAGACCTTCAAAAGCAAGTAGCCTGTCGTATTATGAAATCCCCAATCTGATGCTTTCAAAAAGGAAATCTTTCCCCATGAAACACAATCACTATTTTGTTCTGCAATGTGTTTAGCATTTTTGTTTCTCATTTTATGTCTCTGTCCTCAGTGACACCAAAAGGAAATTGAATTGAAATTAAACAAAGCCTATTTGAGGCATGAACAGGGTAGCTGCACTGCTATATAATGATGCCAACCAACCTGCTGCAATCAGCTCCCCATATGGTCTGTGATATTTTTACCCTTCGCATGAGTAAGGCATTAGGAGATCAGCTTTGACTTGGTAGCAGCTGGTAGTGAATAAAGCTGCACTCTCCTTTTACACCAAGTCACTCCCAGACACAAATCTGCAAGCTGCTGTCTCAGTCTGTAAGTAGATCCTATCCCAGAGTACTTAACAGAGAAAAAACCAGAACAGAAATGGGAACAGAATTTGCCAAATGACAATTAAATGTTCAGATGATTAATTTTTTATATCTTTGATTTTGATTAAAACATAGATGCATGATAATGGCTGTATTCAAGAGAGGGGTTGATTAAAGATTTCATGTATGTAAAAATATATTCTCAGAAGTCTTATTCATTGATTATTTCATATTTTAACGTAAGACAGTCACATTATGATGTGCATTTATAAGCAGAAATGTAATGAGTAGCCATGAAACAAGAAATCATGAATTCTATTAAGTTAATGACATAATAGCTCTTCCTTGTCAATATTGTACAGCATATTTTTCATTTTGCATGACACTTCCATCGTTTATTGCAGATGTCCTTCAAAAGCCTATGACTGTTTTTGTTCTTAATCATCTTTGAGTTTTACAGTGGTATTCTATATCCTCTGGTGTTACGTTATATTATATGCCCTTGAGTTTAATGAGACTTTTCACCCACCCACATTCAGTGAATTCCAAGGGCAGTCTACTCTGTTCAGGTTCAGAATAACAAGAGACAAGAGTAGCAATAACTCCGCCATACCCTTATGAACATTTATTACACTGTAATAAAACCTATATTTTCAGGAAGCTCTTAGGACAAAAGCACTTAAGACACAAACCTGAGATAAAACCAGGTCAGAGAAGGCCACCTCTTTGGGGATACCACAGCTTACAGAGTCACACCTGCACAAACTCCAACCCTGCAGCAGCTGGACTTCCCAAGAGTGGGAGGAGTCTCCTATTTACAGTATGTCACGTACTGTACCGGAGGCATGAATCTGGGGTGAAAGAGCTTCCCTTGCAAAGGAGAGACCCATTCGCTAAAGATCTATGAGCTCACCTAGGGGAGCCTGCACTCACCCCACCTCTCTCCCCCATGGGTGCTGAGTGAGCAGCTGTGTACCAACCGCTTCACATGCTGCCATCACGCCACAGCGGCTACGCCCGCCAGTGCCCTTTCTCTCACACACAGAAACACGGCAAGGACCCACAGGAAGATGAGCAAGTACAAACAGTGCAGCAAGCATGACACATAAGAAAACTTTTCACATGTTTTTAAGGCTTGTTTATTTATACAGTAGGTGTATTTTTCCAAAATATCACAGTAATATGCCTTGATTTTATTATGCCTTTCCATGTTTTTCAAATGTTCTCATTGGTACAGTATAATACTAGTGTTTGCTGAAAACATTCTTGGTTCATGGATGTATTAGGGCTATGCCAATTACAGTATGTACAGCATTTAAGATTGTGTCCTTTTAAATGTTTTATAGACTGGCATATTTGATTTCAAAGGGAATAACACTTTATAACTGCATAATTAGGCACTGGTGTGTCTATCATCTGCCAGCTACGTTTGATTCAAAGTTAAATTATTTTATATTTTGCAATGATAAGCAGGTGTGTTTCATCTTGCTCCAGGTACAGTCACAGCTTTTAAATTGTAGCACAAAAACACTGATCATAATAGCCTACAGTAGATGTTTACATCTAGTGGGAGAAGAGCTTCACTAATTTGACATTTGCGTATTGTTCGAGATGTCATTATTATATTACAGTACATTAGTTTCTTAAAGGCATTATACTGACATTTTAAAGACATTTTGCTGCATACTTCACTCTTTCAGTTTCTCCCATTACTCAATATTTAATTAACACAGTGTTCCCTCAGACACCTCTTTGTGCTATTATGATCTGTTAATATGTGCTAGAACTTCAAAGCTTTGCATGAAACTGGATTGACTTGGTTATCATTGGGTACTACAGAATTTATTGTACTTTGTAGTTTCTAATTTGAATTGAATGTGGCAAAGAGTTGAGGGACACAGCAGCATCAGTATGCAATTTAAATGCGCAACCATTTTGGAATTGCAATATGCCAATCAGAACAAAATCAACTTACTGTATCTATTTGAGATCATAAACATTTTGGAACAAGCTGAGTGTTTAAGTAAGTCATTGTATATCATAGTATAGTCTAGTAATGCTTAGTAAGTCCATGGTAAAAGCATAGGACAGCAAATGAAAGTTAGGGCATGTAAAATGAGGTGGAAAACTATGGTAAAAATATCATAAAAACAAGTGCACCATAAAAAGCTACAATGATCGAATTGTTTTTTTGTTTAACATGTTGGTACTAAGAACTTTGAAAAGCATTTGTGCTGCAGTAATAACAGTGATGACAATAAAATTGTTACGTTTTACTGTACAGACATTTACACTGTAAAATACTATACAGTGAACAGTTTTTTTCCATGTTCTCATAATGCATGAGCTGTGAAGAGCTCTTTTGTTATATTAGCTATACAAGTTAACCGAAACCTCAGAATATTTGATTAGACAGCAGTCAAGAAAACAAAATGTTTTCCTAAAACATTTTCTATGTTTATTAGAAAAAATGAAATGGATAGATCACGTTCTGGTCATAAAGGAAACTCAGAAACTCATTTTCCATTAGCAGCAGGTTGCCTTAAGTCTTGACATGGTTCTATCTAGAAGCAGTCACAGCCCTTATGAACATAATGTACAGGTCATATGCAGGTTATTTTTGTAAAGGGATCCATCATTTAAGTGTATCTGCAACCTCTAAGTGCAGTTGAATGACATGCTCTGTCCTCTATATCTTGTCTAGAGAATGTAATCAGCTCTGGCTCATTTTTTTTTTAAATCCAGATATTATTCCTTAAACTGATGTTTAGCCATTTCATTTAAGCTCAGTTTCCAGTATATTGAGCTTCTGATTCAATAATGCATCAGATTTAGGTTGGCCATATCTCCCTACTGTATATCTAATACATACAGTATACATACTGTACTGTATAAACAAAGGGTAAAGTCAGTCCTTTCGGTTGTTTTTACTCTTAATAGTTTTAGTAATTTACAGTTTAAAAGGAAAATCACTAGAGCAAGAAACAGCCTATGTCTATGTATAATTGAAATGAAATTGTATTCAAGGGTCTTTCAACATTTTAGGATTTAATTCACTATCCCAGGCTCCTGTAGCCCTATCCCAGGCTCCTGTAGCCCTGTAAGTTCCAGTTCTTGGAAGGTTCAGTATGAAGTATGACATACTGTATGAAGCAAAATAAATTGAGACGTTACCAATCCACCCTTGTTTACAGCGGTAAGGTTTTCATAAAAAACTGTATTAGGTATACTTTAATCGGTGGGCATCTAGAGAAACACCAGTATCCCAAATAGGTTTGGGGCTGTGCCCTCTATATTCATAAGGCTTTCAGTTCTTCCTTCTCCTCACCATCCTCCTTTTTTATGTTTTCCTGAACAGAGATCTGCCTGCTTACCAAGGGGCGCCGTACAGCCAGTGTGAAAGCAGACACCTACTGCCGCTTATATTCTTTATCTGTGGACCACTTTAATGAGGTTCTTGAGGAATACCCAATGATGAGAAGGGCTTTTGAAACTGTGGCCATTGATAGGCTTGACCGTATTGGTAAGTAATCTTGTGTTATTTATTTGCCTTTAAAGGTATTTATTATTGCTTTGTTTTATGGCACCTGTCCTGAACTGTGCTGCATGCTCTATGCATTCTGCTTCATCTGGAGCAATAAAAAAAGATAAAATAAAAAATACAGTGCATGCTGCTCTCCAAAGAGGAAATCAGGTTGACTTTGGTTTCATGTTCATCCTGACTGACTTCATGGAGTTCATCAAAGTGTAACTCATTTGCATGTGCCTCAGCTTCATTCACCTGCACACCTGGGTATGAGCAGCAACCCCATTTGAGACAATATCTTGGATCTCATGACAAAGTAATGAGATAAAGGGAACAATGCCTCATTTCACTTAATTCTTGCAGTGAGGATCTCTCCCATTGTAATTTGTGGTTCTCCCTGACACCAAGTGCTTTTCAGGATTTTGTTTGATGTCTCTTTAGAAATCTGTAGTCTCCCATCTGTAAATGATAACCTAAGAGCATGAAAAACCATTATTAGGATTTTGGAGACAAAAGGGGCACATGTATATAAACAACCAGGGCATTTGGTCCTAAAGGAAACCTACTAAGGATAGTTCAGCTATTACAGTTCATACCACAGTGTTTTTTTAAATGGACTTTCATATATTAAACAGAGAACATCAAGATTAAATATTCAGGCCTTGCTGTTAATCACATCCCTTAATGTGTTTTCAAAGCAAAGGAGTGGCAAGGTGTAGCTGTCGAGATTTAACTACACAGTTCTTTTCAGTTTTAAATGTTAATTCTGTTTTGTCCACCAGCTGCATAGAACTGAAGCTGATCTTAGTATGTCTGAATAAACACAACACCAGTTTGACAAGAAGACTGATTACCTGCTGTAAACTTTCGCTGTAATGGCATATACAGTAGCTCTAAGATGTGCTATAGGGTTTCCACCTGGCCATATACTGTAATTCCAAGAAACTGTTTTCAAAGTTTCTCCTAAACTGGAAGTCATGGATGTGTGAATTGATTTTTAAACCCTGGCTGAAATGTTTCTACACCATCACTAACAGTCATGACAGTATATTAGACACAGGCAAATACTTTAGCATTTTAAATGTTGATTTAATTTACTTTTCTTTACTAACCCCGATTTTACATTTCCTGTTGCACTTAAAAATCATATTTTAATGCATATGCATATTTTGCCCCCAAAGTCTAGACTGTTTTAGAATGAATGGATAAGCATTGTATGTAGGACAGCATTGCCCTGTGTTTTACTTTTCAACAAAAATGTTATCCTATTCGAGACATAGAAGTAAATGTTTTATCTTGTCATTATAACATTGAGCAAACTAATTTTTACATGCACAGTACATTTAAGCCAGTGGTACTGTAAATTGCACTTCTAAATTTGATATTTACTTTCACTCTTGAGGTGAAAAAAGTGAATTTCTGAGACTGTTGAACAGGCTAGGCCTACTGAATATTGAAGATGAACCAAGGTTTCAGTACTATTTTCTGTCAAAATCTATATTACAATTCCCTCAAGTTCTTTGAGAGTTCCTTGCTTTTCACAAGTAAAAGTTAATTGTTTCTGCCACCGTGAAAAATAACACTCAGAAAGTTTGGCATCAGCTACAAAAAAAAACAATTCACTCAATGACACCACCTTCACAGTTGATAGGCAAAGGACTCAAAAGCATGAAGATTTGGCACAAAAAGTCTCTTGTTCAGACATTTGGAACCCACCTCATATTTAGACATAACTTTTATCAGTTATCATAATTAGACATAACTTTAATACTAATTATTTGATTTGGTCACTCTTTCTGATTTGGATTAGTGATTTTTAATGCTTAATTAATGGGAGTTTTTAACTATTAACATTTTTAATAAAATAAGATGAATAGTAAAAGTGAGGGTTAAGGAAAAAAGTGCAGTACAGATTTATAGACATTATATACAGTATAACGTTGTTATTGAATTTTAAGTAAAGACTTTGTGATGGTACATTATGCATTCTAAATTAATTGCAACAATATCAGTTTAACTAAGATTAAATACTTGATTTACTTTTCAGTTACATTAGGAGCAACTTTTAAAAGCTGTCCTTTTTCAATCCACCCTGGAATAGCAAGGCCACAGGTGTAAAAACCTAGTGTAAAATGCTTTTAATATTCTTTATGCTTGTAGTTTCCTAGATATAGAAAGGCATAATTCTTTAATACAGCATGACAGTATCTATATTATTAGCCTCACTTCACTCCAAACAAAGGACTAAAATAACAATATAGTCATCGTTCTAATATTGTTTTTTTTAGATTACAGTAAATGGATGGAAAATTGGAATCACACCAGATATGGGCTCCTTAATTTTGTAGTCATAAAATTGTGTGATGTTTCTGGATTGAGTCCTTTTTTTGAGGAAGTATATGTAGTAACATGAGCAGTAGTATTCATTACAGCACTCTGACATCAGCAGTTATATTTTCCTACTTTTAGAAACAAAGGCTTATTTCTTTACACTGAAGAGAAGGCTCTTGTTTCTCAATCTTTGCTTCAGCCTATGAACCCATACAGTAGAATCCCTTAGCTTTCCCTGTTTGATCTGAAGAGTGATCACCACACTTTCTGTCACCTGCTGCCTTGGAAAGCACATGATACTTCAAATGATTCAGCAGTCGTTAGGTAAGCCTTTTTTACCTTAAACTAGGTAAGAACCTGAGAAGGATGTGGCATTGGAACATTATGAACGACGTTCTTCCTGCAGTGAACAGTGCAACTCTAAACTTGAAAAGTATTTTTATTTGTTGCTGCAATTTTGTAAATATGAGGTTTGTTTTTTCTTCGTGATAGTCTTTGTTTTTATTTTAGGAAAATGGTGGTATCTAATCGATTTTTCTCTATTGCAACTATATTTAGCCAACAACCTCATGTTTGCATGGACAGGCAAGAATATGATGCAGTTTAAAAGTACAATTATAAGAAAATAAAACAGCACAGTCAAATGTGTTCATGGACATGTACGAGCTATCTAATACGCTCTATTAAATTATTTAAAAAGTCAGATCTGTGAGTAGGACATCATTTTTTTTCACATGCCTTGTAAATCTCCAGGAAGATAAAACTATGGCGTAATAGAATAAGGTTCCATCACCTATGCCCTTTGACAAGCAAGTTCATGGTTTACATTTGCCCTTTTTAGAAATTAACATACTCATTTACACATACCTGTTGCTATTACGATATTCCACATACAATCATTTTAACAGAAAATAACTTGGAAATAACACTTTTCAAAAAAGTGTTATGGATAAATTAATTCATTTTCTTCATCAATGGAAAAAAATAAATAAAGGGGTTTGGTTTGTCTCATACAAGGGAGAAATAAATATATGCCATGGTCAGTGCCAGTTGTACTGTATATTGACTGCATTTGGTTTAGTGCTTGTCTGGTTAAAAATGTGAAGAACGTACCATGTATTGATACAAATAATATGTTGCACAATTTATTTATCTCTATTTAAAAATTATTTGACCAGGAATGCCTCTTGAGATGAGCACATCTCGTTTTCAAGGGTGTCCTGGGAGGACAGTAGGCAGCAGGTAAACATCTTATTCAAATTACAATATTCACAGAGGAGCATAATGTCTAAAACATTTTGAGAAGTGATTCTTCCCCCAAAAAACAACTGCTTTAACTGAAGCAATTTCTAAAACTATCAACACATCATTTGTTGAATGTTGACCAGCTCTCTGAAGTAGAGTCACCCCATCTCTTATGCATTTGCTTATACTGTATTTATGAATGATTGCCACATGAAAGAAGCATGTCAATGAAGATAAACGCTTTAAATGCCTCCATCATTTTTGACCTTCTCTCAATTTACCAATTTTCTTGAAACAGTTAAGCAAAAACAAAATAACCATGTGATATAAAATAATAATATTGAAAAAGATATTCAAAATGATCCTGAAAGTAGCTTATGCCATCAGAAATGCTCCATGATATTATTCCAAGTATGTGTTTTCTCTGATCTGACAGGGGATTCTGAAATGCAAGATTTGATAGCAATTGTGCTAATAAAATGGTGCATGACCATACAGTTTTGCTCATTCAGAAAGTCACAAAATCATTGATTGGAGGAGTCTTGTTTTAAGTGATCTGATGTGACCATATGATATGATGGCAATGAAGTGTCACCTTTAGAAGGAAGTGATGAATAAGAAATCAAAGGCACAGACTCATATATTATTAAAAGCTTTTAACGTTCTCCTGCCCTCCTTTTTATTGATCATAGTCACAGTTTATACCTATTAGTGGGAGGGATACCAACCATCAGGATAATCACCAATAGCAATGCCCTTTAACGGGGAACATCTGGAAGGCAAATCTTAGTAAATGGCAATGTAGGTTGATGAGTGGATACAACTTTAACATTGGCTTCCCCCAGTAACGTCTTTTCTGAATACAATGAGTTATTGATGATTTTATTCTACATTTCATCTTATTTGCATTTACTTTAGAAAGGAAGTTTTTATATTTACTGCTTTTTGTAGTTTTATCTTAATTTCTGACTAAACCTAGATTAGGAAGAAAATAAAATTATTTTTTACATAATCCACTGCTAATCTTTTACTTCTTAGACATCTAAATTTAAATTCCAAATTTCTTACTCCAGGATGGGAGATTTAACACTTACATCTGTTTGTAAGAACAGGCAAATGTCACTTCCATTTTGTTTGTTTTTTGCCGTGTTAAGCAATGAGGTTTTTAAATTAGTTTAATATTTAAAAAATCATCACAAGCATTTAAGATGAAGTGTTCACACATTTATGCAAAGTAGAACTGTCTAAACAAAATCTTGCTTTCTCATTGGTTCAAAACTCACCTTAACCTCAGGTGTACATCATACTTGTTTAAACAGATGGAAAACTGAAGCCTAGAAAGTCAATTGCAGGTTTTAATCTCTCAGTTGTATTTTATTCATATTTATGGATAAAATGAAAAAAATATATAATATGTTTCA